CTGTTTCCTCATATCACAGCCGACATCACAGAGGAGATCACAGTGAGTACAAGAGAGGAGGAGGCCATGTATTCTTCTCTTCATTAGTCTCCAGGTCACCCAGTCATGGCTGACAGCACTGTACACTCTTCACTCTGTTTCTGTACAATCTTACACTGTATCTGTGCATTGTTCTTCATTCTTTCTGTACACACTTTCTGTATACAGCTACTCTGTGCCAGTACACTGTTCTCCCCCTGTACACTGTTACACACAGCCTGTACACTGTTCTCCCCCTGTACACTGTTACACACATCCTGTACACTGTTCTCCCTCTGTACAATGTTACACACAGCCTGTACACTGTTCTCCCCCTCACACACCCTTAGGACCATGTGACAACGGCGATGTATGGGGGAGATCTGTAATGTCACACACCCTCAGAGCCATGTGACAACGGCGATGTATGGGGGGGAGATCTGTGATGTCACACACCCTTAGGACCATGTGACAACGGCGATATATGGGGGAGAGCTGTGATGTCACACACCCTTATGACCATGTGACAACGACGATGTATGGGGGAGATCTGTAATGTCACACACCCTTAGGACCATGTGACAACGGCGATGTATTCTTTGTAATGATTTCTCAGTAGGGAATCATAGTTCTTGTCTGAGGAATCACTGACTAGCTCTCTCTCTCCAGTGATTTGGGACTCGGCCTCTCAGCGATTCTGTTTTTGCAGTGTTTTGTGCCACTTTCACCAGCGACATTCGCTCCTCGCCTCCCTGGCTTATCTACAGATCTCTGAAGGAGAGCGATTTGTAGCCTGCGTCTGCCCTGCAACGAATCACTTCTTGGCAATAAATCTCCAGCGACCAGTACGGTATCAGGGTATGGAACATATGGTTCGGCGACCTAAGGAGACATCTGACTTTTTTCTATCTCCACCCCTCTCCCCTACACATCTCCCAGCCCGGCTCTTAACAACCAGGGACGCTCTGGCCGGCATCCCACCCAGCTCCTGGCAACCAGTGACATAACTGGTTGCTAGGAGCTGGGCGGGACGCCAGCCAGAATGGCCCTGATTGTTAAGAGCCAGGCTGGGAGATTTGTTAGAGCCATACACTTCTCCCCCTTCTGGACACTCTGACTAGCGTCTGCCCAGCTCATAGCAACCAGTATTATCACTGGCCAGAGCGTCCCAGGTTGCTGAGAGCCGGGTGGGGAGATTTATGGGCCTTACACATGTCCCCGCCAGGCTCTTAGCAACTTGGTACGCTCTAGCTGGCATCCCGCCCAGCTCCTGGCAACCAGTGACGTCACGGGGACACAATTTCAGTGGACTGTAGCAGTTAATCGCTGCTGCAAATTCGCAGGTCTGACATGGCCCAATGGTAGCTTATACTTATTTATTACAGGTATTTATATAGCGCCAACAATTTACACAGCATGTTACATAGTGCACATTCATATCAGTCCCTGCCCGCAAGGAGCTTACAATCTAAGGTCCCTATCTCACATACATACAGGGCTGATTTAGACAATTAACCTTCAAGCATGTCTTCGGAGTATGGGAGGAAACCAGAGTACCTGGAGAAAACACACGCACCCCTTTGCGGGATTTGAATTGGGATCCCCCCTGCAGGGCTGTAGCTACCATGGGGCGAGGGAGGAACTCGCCTCAGGCGCAGCTAAGAGGGGGTGCAGTTATTTCCTTCGTTATGAATGATCCGGAAGTGCTTTACATCACTTCCTGTTCATTCATGAGTTTCTGAAGGGGTAGTAGTACTCACTATAGAGGCTTCTACCCATTGATAACTGGATGATAGTAAATATTTTACTATCACCAGTTTCTGAATGAATGGGAAGCCTCTGTACCCGAGATACATCAATTTAAGAGACAGCTAGCCGCTAGTCTGAAGTCCCAGACATTCAATAAACATCTGTCTCCTTATAAACCAATGGAGTATAGAACGTTTGAGGAGAGAAGAGAAAAATCTTTCTACACACCACTGAGGAAATTTGCTAAGAGTGTGATTACTCTAACTCCTTCATGCTGATGACAGACATTCAAATATAATTATGTAATCATTATAAAGATTTGTAATATAGATAATACCATAGTAATAGTATACAGTATGTGAATTAGGAAAACTGACTACAAGCAGTCCCCGGGTTACGAACAAGGTAGGTTCTGTAGGTTTGTTCTTAAGTTGAATTTGAATGTAAGTTGAAACGGGTACATTTTTTAAGTGTAACTCCAGCCAAAAAAAAGTGAAGGGTTAACCCCCTGTAACGTTTGTTTTGCTGTGTGTGCCCCTGTTCAGAAGATTTCACCTCACTCTCTGTCCCTGTGACAATTGGATTTTGAAAATGTTGGGTTGTCATGGAAACAAGGATTGGGGATAAAGCTTCAGTGGAGGCACCTTTTTCCCATGATGACTCTTGCAGGAGTGAATTTCCCTTCCTACTGGTAGATTTTCTTTCACTTCTTGTTGTCTCAAGGACAGGAAGTGAGATTAACAGGGTTATTCACAAAAGGGGGAAGAGTTTGGAGGAGGCAGGACCAGTGAACAATCTAGGACAACATAGCTGAATTGGAAAAATTCCCCAATTCAGCTCACTTTCCAAATCTTATGTTGTCCTAGATTGGTCACTTCTCCTGACTTCTCCAAACTCTTCACCCTTTAGTAAATAACCCTGTCAATCTTTCTAATGTGAATACAGACAGCAGTAAAAACCTCACATTGACCCGGAAGAAGAGGCGGGCACCCCTCGTCTGCATGTCTAACAAGAGCCAGCTTCCTGTAATGTACGTACAGTACTACGAACCAGACCCAAAGAGGCGGGCACTCCTCGCCAGCATGAGCGCGGTAGCATTACAACTACCCCTGCTGTACATTAATGGCCTCCGTTTGTAAGTAGGAGTCGTATGTAACTCGGATGTATGTAACTCGGGGACTGACTGTATAAAGGAAATATATACTGATTATTGCATTATGAAAAGAAAATTACTTAATGGCTTTCTAAACCCTCCATTTATTTGCATATATCTACTGCTAGCAAGCAGGAGATATATGCAAAAAGTTTTTGTTTTTTTTAACCGCTTTAACAGCAGTTTAAACTTACCACGTCTTCGCTGCGTGCTCCCGTCCGAGAATCCAAAACTGCTCGGCAGCCGCAAAGCATCTTGGGGCGGGCGCATGCGCAGTTCGGATTTTCGGTCGGGAGATGAGGAGAGACGCAAGGTAAGTCTATGGACGCGTGCACCCGCATGCAGACACCGTGGGACAGTAAGTACCAGCAAGGACAGAGGAGTCAGCGCTGGATCGGAGAGCCGCCGCACCGCTGGAGGGACAGATGAAAACATCAGGAAAAAAGAAGATCGGATTAAGAGACATCATTTAAAGGAGAACTTCGAGGCGAGTGCTTTTCACTCACCTCATAGTTCTAGCCGACCTGTGACAATGAGACTGTCACAGGTCGGCTCAGTAGATCGGGAGGTGAGCGAACACATACCGGCGTTCGCTCACCTCGATCCTGTCACGGCTCTCTGCCATGACAGGGGAGGGGCTGGTTTCCCCGATCCGCCAGCGGGGCGGGTACAGCTGGCTCTGCCTCTATATAGGCAGAGACAGCTGTCACTCACGCAGCTGGGCGGATCCAGACATAATTGTCGGGATCCGCTTCAGCTGCGGCGTCTTAGTATACCGTGAGCTGCCGCTCGCGATATACTGCGGCGTTTCAGTATACTGTAGCCCGCGGTATACTGAGCCTAGCGTGACGGGAGGACGCTAGTTTGTGTCCTCCCGTTACCCTAAGGAGAACTATGGGGAAAAGCCTTAACCCCATAGTTCTCCTTTAAGGTAAGTGCTGACATTAACATTGGGGTGAGGGGAAAAGGTTTTTGACTATAATGTCACTTTAATTAAGCAAATATTTATGTATTATAATAATAATATATCTGAATATTAATTATACAATGAACATTATTAGTTCTACTAATCCTATAAATAAGAATAATATATAATAGGTAATTTACAATGTGAACTCTTATTCATATCATAAAAAGAGGGGGAAATATATTAGTGAATAGTTCTTTGTCCAGCCTGGGACATGGCACCTTCATTTATCTTACAGTCGGTTACATTGTCAGTCTTTATCTTGTTATTACCAAGGCTGACTAAACCCACAAAATGTATAGCCTGGGAGTATAAAATGTTACAGTCTGAGAATCGCTCATGTTAGACTCTTTGTTTTGAAACCATGAACTGAAATTCACCTTTATTCTACAGAATAAGGGAACAACATGGCTTCCGGTGTGCCCAGGTTAAATTATGTATAGGTGATAAGTTTAGGCCTCACAGTTTCTTCCTGTGACACTAAACTGAGGCGTTCAATCTTAAAAATACATTCAAGTCCCCTAATTATAAACAAAAATGTATCTTATTTGTGTATCACTTGGCTGCAGATCCTCAAATCATCTCTGAATTGGCGCTGACACTGTCCTTCCTTCTGGAGGGTGATTACTTTTGTTCCCCATGGTCCCTGTGTGTGTTGTAAAGTAGTCACCACTCCAAGCTCACTCCCGTGATGGACTACAATCTCAATACAAATCAGTAAACTAAACATGAGATTGTAGTCCATGACAAGAGTGAGCTTGGAGTGGTGACTACTTTACAACACACACAGGGACCATGGGGAACAAAAGTAGCCACCCTCCAGAAGGAAGGACAGTGTCAGCACCAATTCAGAGATGATTGGAGGAGCTACAGCCGAGTGATACACAAATAAGATACATATTTAAGGTACTTGAATGTATTTTTTGATATTTACCTTGTGAGTTTAGTGTCGCTTTAATAACTCCGACAGCATTCTCACACATTGGACAAAACGGTATCCAACTTCAGGCCATCACAGCAAAAACTTTGACTCTGTTGTATTAATTGGTGTTTTAATAAAGAGAAATGATTTACATCATAAACCTGCTGACCAACATCTCCCTCCTTCTTCAGGCATGAAACTACAACTGGAAGGAAGGCTGGAACTGTGACTGGCCCAGACAATGGAAAGGGGATATGGTATGGCTTTAATGTGATTCATTTCTGAGTCAATCACGTGTATTTTTAAAGAAAAATGTTATTAACCCTTGCAGGGGGAGGGGGGGGGGGGTTACCCATACACTGCAAGGGTTAAGTGCTTGTCTTGCCTAGGATCAAAAATAACCAAAATATACTCACCTGATCCTCAGAGCCTCCATAGTGCTCCCTCCTGCCTGTCTTCTCCTATGTTGCAGTGATGGTACGTCTCTCGCCGTCTTCACATCCTTGACAAAGTGTATACAACGTAATGATGTGCGGGACCTTACACCACTGCAGCGGAGGGGGAGAGAGGCTCCAGGGACCGGTCTAAGAACAAGCCCGCTTGGAGGATCAGGTGAGTATAACTTTGTTATTTTTGACCCTAGGCAAAATGGAGCACTTAACCCTTGCAGAGCCCCACTGCAAGCGTTAATAACATTTTTACTCTGAGTTCTTCTTTAAAATTGCCTTTTATATTGTATGTGTTATCTCTGGATACTTCATGCAAATTTGTACAAGAAATCATGGATTTGGATGTGACATGTGAAGAATTCTGCAGCCATTTCTGCTGCAGCTCAGTAAAACCCCCTCTGAGGGATTCTGAGACCCCGAAAATATTTCATTTGTATATCTTCCCACTGGCGGACAGCAGGCAATAAGTGCCTGAGGGGTCCTTAGGGAAATGTGTCCAGGATGGTCATAGCAAAATCTACCTAGATGTGGGATACAACCTATGACATGTGAGCTAAGGGGAGAGGGTGAAGGAAGGAGGGAGGGAGAGAGAGAGAGAGAGAGAAAAGGGGGGGAGTGAGAGGAGAGAGAGAGAAGGACAGAGAGGAGAGGGGGAGGGAGAAAAGGGGGGAGAAGGAGAGAGAGGGGGGGGAGAAGGAGAGAGAGTATAGGGAGAGAGGAAGGATAGAGAGAAGAGGGAGAGAGAGGAAGGAGAGAGAGTATAGGGAGAGAGTCAGGATAGAGAGTAGAGGGAGAGAGAGGAAGGAGAGAGAGTAGAGGGAGGGAGAGGAAGGAGAGAGAGTAGAGGGAGAGGAAGGAGAGAGAGGAAAGAGAGAGAGAGGAAGGAGGGAGAGAGGAAGAAGAGACAGTAGAGGGAGAGAGAGTAGAGGGAGAGAGCAAGGAGGGAGAGAGAGGAGGGAAAGAGAGGAAGGAAAGAGAGAGAGAGGAAGGAGAGAGAGAGGAAGGGGAGAGAGAGAGGAGGGAGAGAGGAAGGGGAGAGAGAGAGAGATATTAGCACCACTGTGAGGTTTTTATTGTTCTTTGTGTCCTCACTAGAGAGGTTTTTGTCCTGGGGGCCCTTGTCACAGGGAATAAAAGTGAAGGCAAATCCAAAATTGTAAGTTGTCACCAGAACAAGAATAGAGGGAAATCTTCTGATGGGGACACTTACTCTGGTGACAGTTGTATAATCGGCATTTCTCTCACTTTGGTCACCTTGTCCATAAACTGGCACATACAGACAGGGTGCTCCAGTGATGTAAAACACACCATGAAGTCTGTAAAAGAATTGTAAATGTTGTGTCTACAGAACAGGAAGTGAAGAGGACATTTCCCTGATGAGATAATTGTGATTAGAAATGGGATTCTATTATTTGGTTGTATGCTGGTACCTTTAAAGTCTGACTCTTGGGATGTCTGTGACACTTGCAAGCTCTCGTTATCACTTTATTATAGCACAAAGTACACAGCACAACATAAATGTAGTTCCTTGATTATAAATACACCTATGAGACATATGAATAAAAAAACCCAAGAACACAGACAATCCTCTGATCTTGTTTCCCTGGCAGGACACAATGGGCAGCAGAACAAGGTATCCCTGGCAGATCTGCAGTGGTTTTTTGCAAAGTCAAAGGTCTCTATTAGCCTGGCAGTTACCGAATGTTTTTCGTTTCTGAATGACTTAAAGGAATCAGGTATCCTCTCTGAAGAGGAGTCACTGGTAAGTGTGTTCATTCATTCATTCTACTTCAGAGCGGGAAGACATTTCTGCTAGAAGCAACGTCTTATATGGCCACAAGAGGGCCCTGGAGTACAGATAGAATGTTTCCTTTAGATAACAAATGTTTTAACAAATTGTAACAAATGTTGAGATAATATAGCAGACGCACAACAAGTGCATTTTGTTCAATGAGCAAGGGCTTATGTACATAGACTTAAAGCATATGTAAGCCCAAAAACAAAACTTCAATATATAGCAGTTTACCAGTCCTTAGATGTAGTATTAGCCTTTGTTCTCTTCCTTTTACTGGCAATCCTATGGACATGCGCATTTCCTGTTATTTCTTAGGTAAATGTGTTATGAACGGGTCTTCCATTTAATGAGGCAGTTGCCTCATGCATCATCTCTTTGGGTCACTAAGGGGGAAAGGGGGTTGGGGTGTTGGTGAAGCAGGCAGAGCGACATGTTTGTTGTATAGTGGCTGCTCTGCTGCACAATGCCACCCCCTTTCTGGCCAGTGTGTCCCAGGTTGCTAACAGCCAGGTGGGGAGATGTGTAAAAGCCATACTCCACTCTAAACAACCTGGCACACTCTGGCCAACTTCCTGCCATGCTCCTGGCAACCAGTGACCCCCCCCCCACCTGCCAGTAAAAGGACTAGGGATACCACTGCATAAACTGTATCTATAGAAGGAGCCATGGCTGTCACACAGGATGCACTATAAACACCTCTGCCTTTGTTCACCTCCGTTACATGGTAGATCGATGGGACTAGTAGCATGTAAAAGAAAGATAACATTGTTTTTATTGTCCTTGAGGCTCACAGGAAGTGACAAGGACACTGGATTTCTAGCAAGATCAAGTATTTACTGCACACCTCTCACATTTCAGAGATGAGAAACAAGGGCACCTTTCAGCAGAATATATTTAGGCAATGGACACACACCCCTGCCACGTCCCCAGTTTTTCTGACCACTAAGTATTTATATGCCAGAATTTTTTTAATTTTTATTTTATTACAGGTATTTATATAGGTACAAGGACAATTTATGCAGTGCTTTACATAGTGCACATTCACATCAGTCCCTGCACTCAAGGAGCTTACAATCTAAGGTCCCTATCTCACATACATACATACAGAGCCAATTTAGACAGAGGCCAGTGAACCTTCCAGCATGTCTATTGGAGTTTGGGAGGAAAGCACAGGAAGAACATACAGATTCTTTGCAGGTAGTGTCCTGAACAGGATTTGAACCAAGGACCCCCAGTGTAGCCCTGCAAAGCAGAAGAAAGAGACTG